CTTTATAGTGAGTGATGGTGAAACTTGTCACTGAACGCTCTTCATAGAATGTGATGGTGAAACGTGTTACTGAACGCTCTTTATAGTGAGTGATGGTGAAACGTGTCACTGAACGTCCTTTATTGCGAGTGATGGTGAAACGTGTCACTGAACGCTCTTTATAGTGAGTGATGGTGAAACTTGTCACTGAACATCCTTTATAGTGAGTGATGGTGAAACGTGTCACTGAACGTCCTTTATAGTCAGTGATGGTGAAACGTGTTACTGAACGCTCTTTATAGAATGTGATGGTGAAACTTGTCACTGAACATCCTTTATAGTGAGTGATGGTGAAACGTGTCACTGAACGTCCTTTATAGTGAGTGATGGTGAAACGTGTTTCTGAACGCTCTTTATAGAATGTGATGGTGAAACGTGTTACTGAACGCTCTTTATAGAATGTGATGGTGAAACTTGTCACTGAACATCCTTTATAGTGAGTGATGGTGAAACGCGTCACTGAACGTCCTTTATAGTGAGTGATGGTGAAACGTGTTACTGAACGCTCTTTATAGAATGTGATGGTGAAACTTGTCACTGAACATCCTTTATAGAGAGTGATGGTGAAACGTGTCACTGAACGTCCTTTATAGTGAGTGATGGTGAAACGTGTCACTGAACGTCCTTTATAGTGAGTGATGGTGAAACGTGTTTCTGAACGCTCTTTATAGAATGTGATGGTGAAACTTGTCACTGAACATCCTTTATAGAGAGTGATGGTTAAAAGTGTCACTGAACGTCCTTTATAGTGAGTGATGGTGAAACGTGTCACTGAACGTCCTTTATAGTGAGTGATGGTGAAACGTGTTTCTGAACGCTCTTTATAGAATGTGATGGTGAAACTTGTCACTGAACATCCTTTATAGTGAGTGATGGTTAAAAGTGTCACTGAACGTCCTTTATAGTGAGTGATGGTTAAAAGTGTTACTGAACGCTCTTTATAGTGAGTGATGGTGAAACGTGTCACTGAACGTCCTTTATAGTCAGTGATGGTGAAACGTGTTACTGAACGCTCTTTATAGAATGTGATGGTGAAACTTGTCACTGAACGCTCTTTATAGAATGTGATGGTGAAACGTGTTACTGAACGCTCTTTATAGTGAGTGATGGTGAAAGGTGTTACTGAATATCCTTTATAGAGAGTGATGGTGAAACGTGTTACTGAACGCTCTTTATAGTGAGTGATGGTGAAACGTGTTACCGAATATCCTTTATAGAGAGTGATGGTGAAACGTGTCACTGAACGTCCTTTATAGTGAGTGATGGTGAAACGTGTTACTGAACGCTCTTTATAGAGAGTGATGGTGAAACGTGTTACTGAACGCTCTTTATAGAGAGTGATGGTGAAAGGTGTTACTGAATAACCTTTTATAGAGAGTGATGGTGAAACGTGTCACTGAACGCTCTTTATAGTGAGTGATGGTGAAACTTGTCACTGAACGCTCTTCATAGAATGTGATGGTGAAACGTGTTACTGAACGCTCTTTATAGTGAGTGATGGTGAAACGTGTCACTGAACGTCCTTTATTGTGAGTGATGGTGAAACGTGTCACTGAACGCTCTTTATAGTGAGTGATGGTGAAACTTGTCACTGAACATCCTTTATAGTGAGTGATGGTGAAACGTGTCACTGAACGTCCTTTATAGTGAGTGATGGTGAAATGTGTTACTGAACGCTCTTTATAGAATGTGATGGTGAAACTTGTCACTGAACATCCTTTATAGTGAGTGATGGTGAAACGTGTCACTGAACGTCCTTTATAGTGAGTGATGGTGAAACGTGTTTCTGAACGCTCTTTATAGAATGTGATGGTGAAACTTGTCACTGAACATCCTTTATAGTGAGTGATGGTTAAAAGTGTCACTGAACGTCCTTTATAGTGAGTGATGGTGAAACGTGTCACTGAACGTCCTTTATAGTCAGTGATGGTGAAACGTGTTACTGAACGCTCTTTATAGAATGTGATGGTGAAACTTGTCACTGAACATCCTTTATAGTGAGTGATGGTGAAACGTGTCACTGAACGTCCTTTATAGTCAGTGATGGTGAAACGTGTTACTGAACGCTCTTTATAGAATGTGATGGTGAAACTTGTCACTGAACATCCTTTATAGAGAGTGATGGTGAAACGTGTCACTGAACGTCCTTTATAGTGAGTGATGGTGAAACGTGTTACTGAACGCTCTTTATAGAATGTGATGGTGAAACTTGTCACTAAACATCCTTTATAGTGAGTGATGGTGAAAAGTGTCACTGAACGTCCTTTATAGTGAGTGATGGTGAAACGTGTCACTGAACGTCCTTTATAGAATGTGATGGTGAAACTTGTCACTGAACGTCCTTTATAGTGACTGATGGTGAAACGTGTTACTGAACGCTCTTTATAGTGAGTGATGGTGAAAGGTGTTACTGAACGCTCTTTATAGAGAGTGATGGTGAAAAGTGTCACTGAACGTCCTTTATAGTGAGTGATGGTGAAACGTGTTACTGAACGCTCTTTATAGTGAGTGATGGTGAAAGGTGTTACTGAACGCTCTTTATAGAGAGTGATGGTGAAACGTGTTACTGAACGCTCTTTATAGAATGTGATGGTGAAACGTGTTACTGAACGCTCTTTATAGTGAGTGATGGTGAAAGGTGTTACTGAATATCCTTTATAGAGAGGGATGGTGAAACGTGTTACTGAACGCTCTTTATAGTGAGTGATGGTGAAAGGTGTTACTGAATATCCTTTATAGAGAGTGATGGTGAAACGTGTCACTGAACGTCCTTTATAGTGAGTGATGGTGAAACGTGTTACTGAACGCTCTTTATAGAGAGTGATGGTGAAACGTGTTACTGAACGCTCTTTATAGAGAGTGATGGTGAAAGGTGTTACTGAATAACCTTTTATAGAGAGTGATGGTGAAACGTGTCACTGAACGCTCTTTATAGTGAGTGATGGTGAAACTTGTCACTGAACGCTCTTCATAGAATGTGATGGTGAAACGTGTTACTGAACGCTCTTTATAGTGAGTGATGGTGAAACGTGGCCCTGAACGTCCTTTATTGTGAGTGATGGTGAAACGTGTCACTGAACGCTCTTTATAGTGAGTGATGGTGAAACGTGTTACTGAACGCTCTTTATAGCGAGTGATGGTGAAACGTGTTACTGAACGCTCTTTATAGAATGTGATGGTGAAACGTGTTACTGAACGCTCTTTATAGTGAGTGATGGTGAAAGGTGTTACTGAATATCCTTTATAGAGAGTGATGGTGAAACGTGTTACTGAACGCTCTTTATAGTGAGTGATGGTGAAAGGTGTTACCGAATATCCTTTATAGAGAGTGATGGTGAAACGTGTCACTGAACGTCCTTTATAGTGAGTGATGGTGAAACGTGTTACTGAACGCTCTTTATAGAGAGTGATGGTGAAACGTGTTACTGAACGCTCTTTATAGAGAGTGATGGTGAAAGGTGTTACTGAACGCTCTTTTATAGAGAGTGATGGTGAAACGTGTCACTGAACGCTCTTTATAGTGAGTGATGGTGAAACTTGTCACTGAACGCTCTTCATAGAATGTGATGGTGAAACGTGTTACTGAACGCTCTTTATAGTGAGTGATGGTGAAACGTGTCACTGAACGTCCTTTATTGTGAGTGATGGTGAAACGTGTCACTGAACGCTCTTTATAGTGAGTGATGGTGAAACGTGTTACTGAACGCTCTTTATAGCGAGTGATGGTGAAACGTGTTACTGAACGCTCTTTATAGAATGTGATGGTGAAACTTGTCACTGAACATCCTTTATAGTGAGTGATGGTGAAACGTGTCACTGAACGTCCTTTATAGTGAGTGATGGTGAAACGTGTTACTGAACGCTCTTTATAGAGAGAATAAGGGGTAAACGTGTTGCTATTTGTCCTTTACAGAGAGACCGCCTCCGTGTTCTAGTGATATAGCGTCTACCCGGAGAGAAGAAGGTCGGGGAATCGATCTCCGCCCGCGTCATACCAATAAACGTTAAAAGCTGGTACTTGTTGTTACCCTGCCAGATGTTCGACATTAAGGGGCTAAACCAAGGACTGGTCGCCTCGTTGTTGGTATTTCTGCTAAACTGCGGCATAGTATATCAGTGGGATAGCATTAAAGAATCGGCAGAAGTCCGGACTAGTACAAGCAGCCACACACACGCACGCACGCACGCACGCACACGCGCACGCACATACACGCTGACACACAAATGCACATCGCGATATAAGCCGATAATCTTGAACGCGACGTTAAATTCCATTTCACTTCACCTCATCTTTACCAAGAGTAAACGTAATATATGTTACTAAACAATATTTCATAGAGAGGAATGGTGATGCAGGTTGCTGAATATCCTTAATCGAGAGGATGTTTAGTTTGAACATATTTTATTCAACTTAACTTGAAAGTTATTGTAAACAGGCCTAACAGGCTTATGTAGGTATATGCTCCCTGAAGCATTATAACATTGGCTTAGACATCAAAAGTATAAGTTCATGCAGAAACAAGTTATAGAGTAAAAAGACCACTTGTTCTTCAAAGACTACAGTCATATGCATATGAGTCTGATTTATATTTATAGATATTGATCTACCATTTTTTTCTGTGAAATCATGAACAGACATAGGTGTCACCAGAAGTTACACCCCCGGCTATGTATATATAATTAATAAATACTTAAAAGAGAATTGTTTAATTGTGCTTGAAAAATAATTGTTGTTTTGTTCCTGAAGACCAAATCAAGAATCCTGGCTACATAAGAGTTAGTTCCCATTTCTTGTTAAGTTCCCGTCACCATACATTACAGATTTCACGTCAAAACCCTTTGTGTCAGAAGTGGAGTCAACATTCAGAAGTATTCGATCCGTTTTAAACCAGCTTGAATATCATCTGGTAACAGATTCCAAAAGAGGGTTGTAGCTGGAAGAAAGGACTTACTGCAAAGCAAAGTCTTGAAAATGTTTATTATGACTGCCTACCATTTATTTAGTTTGTAATGAGTAATCATATCGACGTGGAATAAGGTTACACAGATATTCTGGAGCCAGCTGTATCCACTCTATCCAGTTGCATGGGAGAATGAAAGTAGACTACTCTCCGTGCGAGAGTCCGTCATAATGCATCAACGTATGTATGCAAACAGACCAATATATGCTACTGAACACATCATATGAAGTAAAATCTAATCTAGATTAGAACATGTGAAACATTCATAATACTATCGTTCATGCTATGTCTGTCCTGATGACGCAAATCCAAATAATGAACATACACGGTCATTCGCCACATAATGTTGTACTACTGACTAAGGTGATTGTTTGCGGCATCATATTTGCCACATGCTTTCGTTCATAGCGTCGGGTTACAGAGGTCATAAAAGGAGGTCACATTCACACCCTAAATAATGTATATCACGCCTAGCCAATTGTCTTGCAGGACTGACAGTCAGTGTTATGTCAAGTTCTGACGTTGAACTGATTCCTGGTCGATGCCTTTCTCCGGCCCGGCTTGCAGATCCGCGGCACAGGGATTCCTCCATGGAGGCGATTACACCGCGTGAAGGAGGCGATTACACCGCGCGCTGTCTTGCTAGATGACGCAATGATTACATCAGGGAGACAAGCACACATCGGATTGCGTTACTGAATGGCACAGGAGAACCAGTCAAAGTCTTCAAGTACATTCTCCCTGAAAATCAAAGATTCTAGTGAACAATTGCAGACATACAAAAAAGACACAACATTATTCCATTTGCATAAATATAACGGAAGCCGTCATCACTTTGTGGATTGATTGATGTTTGAGAGACACAACGGAAATCATTGACGTGAATCACCCAGCCTAGAATCAGGAATCAGAATTTTTTCTCCTTGTGTCTACAAACATTTCATTTCTGAAAATCACTCGATCGATTGCATGAAAGTTAGGATATTGGAGAAAATATGCAATCCATCGTTTAGCCTTAAATGTAGATGCCCTTTCTGCTATGATAATGGTTGTTGCAGGAGGGGCAACGCATCTACCAAATTAATAGCATCGATCATTTGGCCTTCGTCCTTTCTTGTGACCATGGGGCGGTCGGGTAGCCTAGTGGTTAAAGCGTTCGCTGGTCACGCCGAAGACCCGGGTTCGATTCCCGACATGGGTACAATGTGTGAAGCCCATTTCTGGTGTCCCCCGCCGTGATATTGCTGGAATATTGCTAAAAGCGGCTTAAAATCATACTCACTCACTCACTCTTGTGACCATGACTGCGGCAGCGTCTCTGGGATGCCGGAGACAGACTCACAACATTGGCGTTGGCAGGTCTTTGGTTAGGATGAATATTGCCAATATCTTCTATATTGTTATTATATCCACTTGATATTGCATTACACAACTATCGAATGCAGTGACTTTCTTTCTACATCATATAAGGAGTTAGATAAATCTGTACTATATGTCACTGAAAAATACCAAAGGACTTCAGCAACGTTTGCTAATGGAGGGGTCTACAAATAGCAAGAGCCCATAGTATCGACTAGAGAGTATAGTTCTTGAGGTCGCTTTGAAACGCTTGGTCAAAGCAGAAACAGAATCAAGTCAATCAGTAAAATACCGAATGTTACTGAAATTAACCCTTAAATACGTGAAACAAAAATCACAATATTTCAATTTCGGAACCACAACCATTTTTATTTTCCTGTACGAACATCATCTCATTCATGTATTTTTCAATGATAGAAACGCGTTGCGGAACGTGGACTTGGCAGCTTATGATGTAAATGCAACTACTTGTGGCTGCCAAGACTCATAATACTGCTATATATATGGTCATATAACGGGTGACTACTCTATTCGTGACAATAACAATTTTAACAGCTATTAAAATAATATGTCGTGGATAGCTGGCTACCACTTGGGATCACAACGTTTTAAATCATTATGGATTCTGTCGATGAGTTTGCCCAGCTATGGGCTGAAAGAGAGGATGTACCTGTGGAATGCATATGTTTTCACGAGTGGCTAAAGTCAGTACGTGATGTTGTCATTGATAGAATGCACAAACAGAAAAAGAGGAGTGAGTGAGTATTGTTTGCTTAACTCCGCATCAGCAAATCAGCAATCTTGCAACTTTTCGTGGCGACAGAAAAAGAGGAAACGGAATCGGAATAAACTCATTCTGTCCCAGCCAGCTGTTATCCAATGTCAGGCGCTCCTATAATGAAAGTTAGTCTGAAGACATGTCCATTCCTGTTTTGTACTGGATTCGAAAGCTGCTGTAAAATCATCCATAACCTTTCAACAAGCCAACACAATTACTGACACAACTTGTACAACGTTGGTCCTAGAGAACTCGTAGAGAAGTCACGGAAGGTGAGTATTCGACAACTAACTGCATGGTCTACTGAGGGACTCAGATGTGCAAAGCCTCGCTCACTGTCTACCGCCAGATGATGCAATACAGAGGAACATTGTAAAGTTTATGAAGACGTAAAGAAGAGATGTTTCACGTCAAAGATGTACAATGTTCAAGATCAGCGGGAAGTATGTCAACTGGAAATGCACAACTCTTCAAGAAACGGCAAGCGCGATTGTGCTTTCCTGTACAGCAACAGAGAAGTTTGCTATCAAGTTTATCAAGTCCTTAACTGAAAAGATATAAAACATCCAAAATGATCTCAGTTTGTCAATGAACAATATGCTGCCAAATGCAGCTGGTTGGGTTCATCCGGCAAAGTCAGCTACGACCTACTTACCACGCTTTGATGCCACCACTGCTGACGAAGTTAGAAAACGTTTAGCAAAGAGTCCCAGAAAATATTGCAGTCTCGACATTGTTAAGGTATTGTCTTGCCAACAATCACTTCAATAGTAAATTAGTCGTTGGCTCAAAACGAGGTTCTGACAGAAGCGCTGATAATGCCCCTACTAGAAAGGCCATCATTGGATCGAGAACTATCGACCGGTCTCAAACCGACGTTTCCTTTCAGGGTTGATTGAGCAGGTAGTAGCGGGTAGGCTGTATAAAGACATGCAAGACAACACTGCTGGAGATGTCCTCCAATCGGCTTACAAGAGTGGTCACAGAACAAAAGTAACTTTGCCACGTGCAAAATGACATACTTGATTCCAAGGGAGCGGCGATTCTTGTCCTCTTTGATCTCTCAGCTCTCAACTCTTCTCAAAACACCTGCCCTGTATATAACCTGCACTGTCCATCATCTGCCTTGTATATAACCTGCACTGTCCATCACCTGCCTTGTATATAACCTGCACAGCCCATGACCCTTATGTATATAACCTGCACTGTCCATCATCTGCCCTGTATATAACCTGCCCTGTATTTAACCTGCACTGTCCATGACCTGCCCTGTATTTAACCTGCACTGTCCATGACCTGCCCTGTATATAACATGCACTGTCCATGACCTGCCCTGTATTTAACCTGCACTGTCCATCACCTGCCCTGTATATAACCTGCACTGTCCATGACCTGCCCTGTATTTAACCTGCACTGTCCATGACCTGCACTGTATATAACCTGCACTGTCCATGCCCTGCCCTGTATTTAACCTGCACTGTCCATCACCTGCCCTGTATATAACCTGCACTGTCCATGACCTGCCCTGTATTTAACCTGCACTGTCCATGACCTGCCCTGTATATAACCTGCACTGTCCATGACCTGCCCTGTATTTAACCTGCACTGTCCATCACCTGCCCTGTATTTAACCTGCACTGTCCATGACCTGCCCTGTATTTAACCTGCACTGTCCATGACCTGCCCTGTATATAACCTGCACTGTCCATGACCTGCCCTGTATATAACCTGCACTGTCCATGACCTGCCCTGTATATAACCTGCACTGTCCATGACCTGCCCTGTATATAACCTGCACTGTCCATGACCTGCCCTGCATTTAACCTGCACTGTCCATGACCTGCCCTGTATTTAACCTGCACTGTCCAAGACCCTTATGTATATAACCTGCACTGTCCATCGCCTGCCCTGTATATAACCTGCACTGTCCATGACCTGCTATGTATATAACCTGCACTGTCCATGACCTGCCCTGTATTTAACCTGCACTGTCCATGACCCTTATGTATATAACCTGCACTGTCCATGACCTGCCCTGTATATAACCTGCACTGTCCATGACCTGCCCTGTATATAACCTGCACTGTCCATCGCCTGCCCTGTATATAACCTGCACTGTCCATCACCTGCCCTGTCCATGACCTGCCCTGTATATAACCTGCACTGTCCATGACCTGCCCTGTATTTAACCTTCACTGTCCATGACCTGCCCTGTATATAACCTGCACTGTCCATGACCTGCCCTGTATATAACCTGCACTGTCCATGACCTGCCCTGTATATAACCTGCACTGTCCATGACCTGCCCTGTATATAACCTGCACTGTCCATGACCTGCCCTGTATTTAACCTGCACTGTCCATGCCCTGCCCTGTATTTAACCTGCACTGTCCATGACCTGCCCTGTATTTAACCTGCACTGTCCATGACCCTTATGTATATAACCTGCACTGTCCATCGCCTGCCCTGTATATAACCTGCACTGTCCATGACCTGCTATGTATATAACCTGCACTGTCCATGACCTGCCCTGTATTTAACCTGCACTGTCCATGACCCTTATGTATATAACCTGCACTGTCCATGACCTGCCCTGTATATAACCTGCACTGTCCATGACCTGCCCTGTATATAACCTGCACTGTCCATCGCCTGCCCTGTATATAACCTGCACTGTCCATCACCTGCCCTGTCCATGACCTGCCCTGTATATAACCTGCACTGTCCATGACCTGCCCTGTATATAACCTGCACTGTCCATCACCTGCCCTGTATATAACCTGCACTGTCCATCACCTGCCCTGTATATAACCTGCACTGTCCATCGCCTGCCCTGTATATAACCTGCACTGTCCATGACCTGCTATGTATATAACCTGCACTGTCCATGACCTGCCCTGTATTTAACCTGCACTGTCCATGACCCTTATGTATATAACCTGCACTGTCCATGACCTGCCTTGTATATAACCTGCACTGTCCATGACCTGCCCTGTATATAACCTGCACTGTCCATCGCCTGCCCTGTATATAACCTGCACTGTCCATCACCTGCCCTGTCCATGACCTGCCCTGTATATAACCTGCACTGTCCATGACCTGCCCTGTATTTAACCTTCACTGTCCATGACCTGCCCTGTATATAACCTGCACTGTCCATGACCTGCCCTGTATATAACCTGCACTGTCCATGACCTGCCCTGTATATAACCTGCACTGTCCATGACCTGCCCTGTATATAACCTGCACTGTCCATGACCTGCCCTGTATTTAACCTGCACTGTCCATGCCCTGCCCTGTATTTAACCTGCACTGTCCATGACCTGCCCTGTATTTAACCTGCACTGTCCATGACCCTTATGTATATAACCTGCACTGTCCATCGCCTGCCCTGTATATAACCTGCACTGTCCATGACCTGCTATGTATATAACCTGCACTGTCCATGACCTGCCCTGTATTTAACCTGCACTGTCCATGACCCTTATGTATATAACCTGCACTGTCCATGACCTGCCCTGTATATAACCTGCACTGTCCATGACCTGCCCTGTATATAACCTGCACTGTCCATCGCCTGCCCTGTATATAACCTGCACTGTCCATCACCTGCCCTGTCCATGACCTGCCCTGTATATAACCTGCACTGTCCATGACCTGCCCTGTATATAACCTGCACTGTCCATGACCTGCCCTGTATATAACCTGCACTGTCCATCACCTGCCCTGTATATAACCTGCACTGTCCATCACCTGCCCTGTATATAACCATGCTGACAAAGTAATACGATAATGTGATGAAGCGGGAGTATAATCACTTACACACTGACTGCCCGCTTGACGCAGCAATTATATAAGTAAGTAGTTACATGAAGATGACGTTGTGATAAAGCACAAGTATTATTACTCACACACGCTGTTCGCTTGGTGCAGCAATTACAATAATATATAAAAGCGACAAAACACTTTCAATATTCATAAGTGTAACCAGGAATTGCACACCCGGTTATAATTATCTATAAATACGTAAATTAAATGCAAGTATATTGATGTACATGAATTATATATTACCATGAAATTGTTAACTTCACTATGAGATGAAATGACTCACGTTGTATACCTATATGTGTGAGGAGCGCAGGTGGCGACCAATTATATTTAATTAATTGGTTTTCCATAAAGGATGACAGGGTACACAGTACAGGGATCTCAGGGTCATGTAAAGAGTTAAGGTTGTCACGAGTCAGCCAAGATGATTAAGAGGTATTAGTGGGTAGCATTAATCTATACGAATTGTACAAGGGAGGGAACCAGTTCTACTCTTGTAATTGGAAGCTAGATCATATATTAAAGACTTAATAGATAGGATAAACCTGAAAGTACTAGGCCAGAACCTCGGATAAGTCACAAAGAAGCTGGGTACTACTCACTCTTCATAACAGACTCACGTGTTGGTCAAACCTCGTGACGTCATAGTAATTTATCATTAGAAAAGTGTAAGGATAAAATGGGGTGGAAAATCATGATTCGGGGAGAACGGTTTGCGGGACGCAAGTAGCTAGGTCAGAGGTCACTGCGCTCCTAAGTAATTTAGATTGCTGCCAGTACGTTTGTGCGGTATCTGTTTTACAGTCTCCAAACCTAGTTTAAATAAAACTCATCGTATCTCGAAAACAAGTCGTTGTGTTCCTGCTGTGGTGACTCCTGATTGCGAAGATCAAGAAAAAGGATCCAGGTTACATAAGAAAGATCTGCCCAAAACAGAGTCGATTGTACGATCCCGAGTTGATAAATAATTATATGAAGATGACATTGTGATGAAGCACACATACAATCACTAACATACACATTGCTCGCTTGACGCTTCAATTATGATATAAATATATAGTGTCAATGCAAGAGAGTAACCATTCTAGATTATAAGCAGAAACAGATTACATTTTGGCGAAAAGCCTAAGCGTGTCCCGCCCTACCGGTAGCACCCTACATTCACACAATTTGTATAAAAAGATGACATTGTGATAAAGCACGGGTAAAATCACTTACAAACACACTGCTCGCTTGAGCCGGCAGCTGCCGAGCACCACTGATCCATTAGCCAGACAGTGAGGGCGCTGATCCTTCCCGCAGCCAGGTTGCCCCCCTGCTACAGCCGCCCTGTAGTCCTCGCAGTACTCGTCAAGCAGGTCTTTATCGAACTGTACCCTTGCGAGGGAGTCTGCGTCCTCGTCACGGGAGACATCGTTCACGTCGTCAGCAACACGGGGGAGATCCTTCACGTCCTGACCACGGCCGCTCTCTTGAATGAATAAGGGTTTACTGAATTTAATGTAAGGGGGGGATGTAATAACAGTAATAGTAAGTTCAAGGTTAGAATAAACGCCACTCGACAATGTTACAGGTGAATTTACTGAACCTCTCCAATAATACAGTTAAAACTACAGAACCTATGCAATACTACAGTTATAACTACAGAGCCTATCCAATACTACAGTTACAATTACAGTACCTATCCAATATTACAGTTATAACTGCAGAACCTCTCGAATACTACAGTTAAAACTACTGAACCTCTCCAATACTACAGTTAAAACTACTGAACCTCTCAAATACTACAGATAAAACTACGGAACCTCTCCAATACTACAGTTAAAACTACAGACCCTCTCAAATACTACAGATAAAACAACGGAACCTCTCCAATACTACAGTTAAAATTACAGACCCTCTCAAATACTTGAGTTTATATTACATAATCTCTCTAATCCTACAGTTAAAATAACAGAACCTATCCAATCCTATAGTTACAATTACAGAACCTCTCCAGTTCGTGAGTTAATATAAGATAACCGATGAAATTACGTTATGTTTTCAATACTGCAGGTGAAATTACAGAACATCTGCACTACTACGAGTGACATTAAAAAGACCCCATGAGTTAAAGAAGATCTGTAATGCTACAGTTGAAATTACACAACTTCCGCAAAACTTGATTTGAAGTTACTGGAACCTGCAGTACAAGAGTAGAAATTAAAAAGCCTCTCCAATAGTACTGTTGTACTTATAGAAGTGCTGCAGTACTACAGTTGAACCTGTAGAACCTCTGCAGTTGAATTTACGGTGAAATACTACAGTTGCAATTACAGCACCTCTTCAATGCTACATATAACTTGTATGACATATTATTGTACATGTCGCATATTACTTGTGTGTCATAGTATTGGGTAGGTTGCATATTGCTTGCGTTTCATAACTGTCAGAGTCAATGTGTTCCTTATTATGTGTATGTAAATGTAAATGCTGGCCCACATGTACGAAAACTCAAAACATTTAAATGAGCAGCTCAAGCTGCTTCACGGAGGTTTCTATTCCTATAGGCACTTCTTGCAGTTAAAGTACAGAAGGTACACCATGCCGCATATTTCTACGGCAGCAGTTAAGTGTCTGCATACTGCATACCTGGCAGAGAGTGGAGACTGAAGAAATATTTATGTCAGAAAGCCGGAAGTGACGCATGGTAGAAAACTAAGACTACTTTATCCCGCGCCAGTTAATTAGGACTGATTACCAGCCTCAAACACATCGCTATATAATAACTGTGGGTTGTTGCTTCTGTCAACTACCTCGTACATACCTGTTCTTCTGGCCTACCCCAGACAGTGTCCCACAGCTCTATGCCACCCTAATCAGAACCATGTGTGAAGTGCCTTTAGTTCTAGTCATTATATTTACCAACTGAACAAGAATCGTTTTTTCATCTTTGATATGTTTCAGTAGAGAGGAACATACATTTTCAAAAGGAACTTAATCCCGAAAGGCGACAAAGCTAAGGAGTATATATTTGCATAATGCAAGGAAACTTAACAGGTTCAGATATATCATAGCTTGTTTAAGGGGTATAGCATATCTGCGTGAATTGTGATGCTTGTTCTACACGGACACACCATCTTTCATAGCACAAGTCTTATTTTACCCTGGATTATGTTCTTACCAAACGGACACACTTTCTTGGACTTTATAAGGTTAGTAGTACACGGACACACAAAATTTGCCGGAGTCAGTTACTCGACCACAAATGAAACTGTTAGCAATAATAATGGGTAATTGCGATGCTAGTACTGCGTGGGTTTTATAAAGCCAGTCGCACACTTGGTTTTGTTTTCTTGTTGATTAAGTATCAGCGTCACCCGCTAGCGCTTCATCGTGCAATGTTTAACCCTTGAGTCTTACAGTGAAATGTTCCGGTGTCTGCAAAAAGGCGTCGTACATAAATAATCTTCAGGGAAATGAGATAGGACACGCGTACGTTAACCATCATTCCCCATACTGCAGGATTAGAAGGGTTGTCAAACACGGGGCTCAAAGCTACAAGTTATGCTGAGATAAAAGTACTGATGTCGGCAAAGGGGGGGGGGGGGGGGGGGGGGGGGGGGGGGGGATAAGGAAGAGGGGTTCGGGAGGATGGGGAAGGAGGGGGGTTGATTGACGATATTGAGTTTGTGGTTTCAGTTTACTTACCGACAGATGAAAATGTTAGAAGCAGTGCCGCTACAAGACACCCGAAGTGCATCATCGGTAACTGCATCATCCGTCGGATCAAAGTAGTGAAACTGCAATGTACAACAGCTGTAGTATATAGGTATATACATGTACAACAGAAGCAGTATATAGGTATATACATGAACAACAGAAGCAGTATATAGGTATATACATGTACAATGGAAGCAGTATATAGGTATATACATTTACAACAGCTGTAGTATATAGGTATATACATGTACAACGGAAGCAGTATATAGGTATATACCTTTACAACAGCTGTAGTATATAAGTATATACATGTACAACAGAAGCAGTATATAGGTATATACATGTACAACAGAAGGAGTATATAGGTATATACATGTACAACAGAAGCAGTATATATAGGTATATAAAAGTACAACAGAAGCAGTATATAGGTATATACATGTACAACAGAAGCAGTATATAGGTATTATACATGTACAACAGAAGGAGTATATAGGTATATACATGTACAACAGAAGCAATGAAAGGCAATGAAACTCATTTATCGTTCTACTTTTTTTTATTTGTTGCCTTAAAGTCCATTTAACAATTGAATTTAAAATTGAGTGCTTTGCCCAAACGCAGCCTACAAAAGTGCAATGGGACTCAGTTGTGGAAAAGTCTTGTCAAAAACATGATGCACGTGCATATCGTGGATGGTATGGGTATAAAAGACACCCAAAACTGTTAGGCTGGCTTTCGTTATTTCGATTCATCAGCCATGGAATTATATGGGCATAATTTTGCGCCACAGAGGAAGTATGTAATCATAAGATTGTTGAACAGAGGAAGTATATATGCAACAGCATGTGCAACAAGGGAAGTATATAAGTATAAGCGTGTGCAATACAGTAAGTAGATAGGTGTGCGTATGCGTAACAGTGGAAGTATACAAGTATACACGTGCGACAGATGTATATAGACATAAACACGTACAATAGAAGAAGTATATATGCATATAAACATTTGCAAGAGAGGGCGTATTTAGGCATAAACATGTGCAACAGTAGAAGTATATAGTTATAAACATGTGCAACAGTAGAAGTATATAGTAATAAACATGTGCAACAGTAGAAGTATATAGTAATAAACATGTGCAACAGTAGATGTATATAGTTATAAACATGTGCAACAGTAGAAGTATATAGTTATAAACATGTGCAACAGTAGAAGTATATAGTTATAAACATGTGCAACACAAGAAGTATATAGTAATAAACATGTGCAACAGTAGAAGTATATAGTTATAAACACGTGCATATGTATATATACATGGGCAACAGGGAAAGTATATATGTATGCATATTTGCAACAGAGGAAGTAAAAAGTCTTGTCCTTAGAGGAAGTAGACAGGTATCCATTTGTGCAACAGAGGAATTATATGTGTATATAAAGATGACAGACGAAGTATATCAACATAAACATGTGCAACAGAAGAAGTATATAGGCAGAGGCATGGGCATGTGTAATTTTGGAGCTATATAGGCATAGGCAAGTTCAAAAGAGGAAGACAATAGGTATATAAATATGTGCAAGTATATAGGCTTAAAGATGTGCAATATTGGAGGCATATGGGTATAAACAGGTGCAACAAGAGAAGTGTATAAGTATACATATGTGCAACAGAGGATATGTAGGTGTTAGCTTGTGCAACAGAGGACGTATATGGGTATATGAACGTGCAAATCAGGTGGTATACATGCTTGTCCAACAGATGAAGTATATGGGTGAATACACATGTGCAAAAAAGGAAGCATATATGTATAAAGGTGTACAACGGAGGAAGTATATAGGTATAAACATGAGCAAAAGAGGGCATGTTACGGCATACGATTAAATGTTGACACCTGGTGAAATCCAATATTAAAGATACATTAACATTCAGTCTTTGACAGGATAGCTAACAGTCCTCATTCAGTACAATTTTACTTTAGTCAGATGATGTGGGATCGTCTTTCTCAGTAGGCGTTAAGGCCATAGGAATATATAAGATTATGATTGAATAAATGTGTAGGGTCTGAAGCGGCGAGGCAATTATCTGGAAATGCCTTAGCGGAATTGAAGGAGAACCACTTGAGGAAAGATCAGAATGATATAGTTATAGAAAGCCAAAATCTTAATTACCTAAGAACGATATTCGAGATTTTCAGATAAATCTGCCTTCACTCACGTAAACACATATGAAATATTTCGTATTTACAGTTGCGGTGATCCTGCTTCGTCCTGTTTGTCCGATATTACAGCATTAAGTACTAGGAATATGCGTCGTAACAGTTGAGGAAGTACACACATGCATCAATACCCAAATATGAATTTGAAAACACATACATCCTCTCAAAGTAGTCAGTTATTTAGGTCAGATAGGGATTGATCAGTTAGGCGTTAGACATCTTAGTGCCTTGAAACACAAGGAACAGTGGGGTCAAACGGTGCTGAAAACCGCGATAGTGTCCAATGCATATCATGTAGATCATCATCGTCCGTAAATGAAACATGAATCTACACGCCAGTTGTCGTACATCACATATCTACATCTACACGTCAGTGGTCGTACATCACGTATGTATTTCTACACGTTAGTGGTCGTAATCACATATCTACATCTACACGCCAGTGGTCGTAATCACGTATCTACATCTACACGTCAGTGTTCGTACATCACATATGTATTTCTACACGTTAGTGGTCGTAATCATATATCTACATCTACACGTCAGTGGTCGTAATCACATATCTACATCTACACGTCAGTGGTCGTACATCATATATCTACATCTACACGTCAGTGGTCGTACATCACATATCTACATCTACATGTCAGTGGTCGTAATCACATATTTACATCTACATGTCAGTGGTCGTACATCAGATATCTACATCTACACGTCAGTGTTCGTACATCACATATCTACATCTACATGTCAGTGGTCGTAATCATATATCTACCTCTACACGTCAGTGGTCGTACATCACATACCTACATCTTCACGTCAGTGGTCGTACATCACATATCTACATCTACACGTCAGTGGTCGTAATCACATATCTACATCTACACGTCAGTGGTCGTACATCAGATATTTACATCTACACGTCAGTGGTCGTACATCACATATCTACATCTTCACGTCAGTGGTGGTACATCACATATCTACATCTTCACGTCAGTGGTCGTACATCAGATATCTACATCTTCACGTCAGTGGTCGTACATCACATATCTACATCTACACGTCAGTGGTCGTAATCACATACGTACATCTACACGTCAGTGGTGGTACATCACATATCTACATCTACACGTCAGTGGTCGTACATCACATACGTACATCTACACGTCAGTGGTGGTACATCACATATCTACATCTACACGTCAGTGGTCGAACATCAGATATCTACATCTACACGTCAGTGGTCGTACATCAGATATCTACATCTACACGTCAGTGGTCGTACATCACATATCTACATGGACACGTCAGTGGTCGTACATCACACATCAACATCTACACGTCAGTGGTCGTACATCACATATCTACATCTTCACGTCAGTGGTCGTAATCACATATCTACATCTACATGTCAGTGGTCGTACATCACATACCTACATCTTCACGTCAGTGGTGGTACATCACATATCTACATCTTCACGTCAGTGGTCGTACATCACATACGTACATCTACACGTCAGTGGTCGTACATCACATATCTACATCTACACGTCAGTGGTCGTTCATCACATATCTACATCTACACGTCAGTGGTCGTAATCACATATATGAAATAATGATAAAAGTAACAAATCCCTACATCGATTCTATTGTTTTTATTCTATATAAAAGCATAATGCCGTTCAGGATGTATTTATCTAAGTTGTTTTGAACGGCACCTTGAACTGTGCAGTTTTTGTCCCCCTGTCGTTTTCTTCCGATCAGCATCTTGTTAGACAACGGGCTGGGGCTACATTGGACACGTCAACTAAGCCAGTATGCCGTCTTCGTCAGCATTGGTTGTAAAGCCAGCAATTATGTCAGCAACGATTTGAATTAGTGAACTAACCCACAATTTATAGTTCAGAGTTGAATTAATAACCTCCTTCCTGTAGAGGTGTTTTAATGACACACTTCCGAGCCCTGGATCTTTACGCTGGGATGGAGCGGGAAGGATCTGTACACGTGCGTAGCTTAGTACACTTTGTCGACATACATAGATTATGTACAGATATGTTTAGATGTAGGTCTCGTGGGATGTATCTACTCTGATACCAGTAGGCCGGCGGAGCATCAGGTGCTGGAAGCTCATGCTCCTTACGGCTTGGGTTTCAAACTGGATGAACATTAAAACACGCTAATCCTCTTTACATACCAGTCACCTTGCTTGATTATTGCTGCGATGAGGAAGAACGTTAAGACGAGCACACAAAATTCGCAAGGACCAACTCGGTAAATATTTACATGGGTTAGTATATCACGTGGCTCAAAGTGTGTGTCGGGTTGCAAGCGATTGGCTTCTAATTCCACCAAAAACAGTTCCCCTCCTCTAGTCAGGTTTTTGGTGTTGCCCCTGATCTTCATCGTTTAATAACACGCATGGGGATGCCGTATACCATATAATTTGGCTTCAACACATTTAGAACAACCTTGTATACAAAAGATGTACATGTTCTGCACAAGTAGACTTTTAATTGATGTGATTAAGCAAAAACACCATACCTAGCATTGAGTGATACCGAGCATTGTGAAGTAAGGAAGGAAAATTGCACTGATGTGGGCGTGGTTCGCTCTAAAGAGACAGAGGACATAGGTGGGCATGTTACGCAGCACACAACGCGAACAACACGGCCAAGCAACATCCAGTAAACACAAGACGACCTAGCAACGTCCTGCGAAACAACACTACACTACCTGGCAACACCTAGTGAACACAACACAACCTGACAACACCCAGTGAACACAACACAACCTGGCAACACCCAGTGAACACAACATAAGATAGCAACACCTAGCAAATACAACACAGCCTGGCAACGACGAGTGAATACAACATAAGCTAGCAACACCTAGCAAACACAACACAGCCTGGCAACACCCAGTGAACACAACACAACCTGGCAACACCCAGTGAACACAACATAAGATAGCAACACCTAGCAAATACAACACAGCCTGGCAACACCCAGTGAACACAACATAAGCTTGCAACACCTAGCAAACACAACACAGCCTGGCAACATCGAGTGAACACAACACAACCTAGCAATATCCAGTTAACACAACACAACCTAGCAACACCCAATGAGCACAACCAGGCAACACCGAGTGAACACAGCCAGGCAACACCCAGTAGACACCAACACAACCTTTGCACACCGAGTGAACACAACACAACCTTGCAACACCCAGTGACCACAACACAACCTGGCAACACCCAGTGACCACAACACAACCTGGCAACACCCAGTGACCACAACACAACCTTGAAACACCCAGTAGACGCCAACACAACCTGGCAACACCGAGTAAACACAACACAACCTTGCAACACCCAGTGACCACAACACAACCTGGCAACACCCAGTGAACACAACACAACCTGGCAACACAACCTGGCAACACCCAGTGACCACAACACAATCTTGCAACACCCAGTGACCACATCACAACCTGGCAACACCCAGTGAACACAACACAACCTTGCAACACCCAGTGACCACAACACAACCTGGCAACACCCAGTGACCACAACACAACCTGGCAACACCTAGTGACCACAACACAACCTGGCAACACCCAGTGACCACAACACAACCTGGCAACACCCAGTGAACACAACATAAGCTAGCAACACCTAGCAAACACAACACAGCCTGGCAAAACCGAGTGAACACTCTACCAACGCAGGCCTCCATGTATAATCTTAATTACTGCTGCCGTGTTCTACCTACACATGCATCCATATATAATCTCAATTACTGCTGCTACGTTCTACCAACACATGCCTCGATGTATAATCTCAATTACTGCTGCTACGTTCTACCTACACAGGCCTCCATGTATAACCTCAATAACTGGTGCCGTGTTCTACCAAGAAAGGCCTATATGTATAACCTCAATTACTGCTGCCGTGTTCTACCTACACAGGCCGCCATGTATAACTTCAATTACTTATTTAAATCTCGTCACAATTAAATCAAAAATAAGGTAGCCATAATACGTAAAACAAACGAGCCACTGCCAGCGGAGATACAGGAGACTGAGATGATTAAAACGTATATGCTCAAATACACTATGTAGACACTTTTGTAAAAAGCAATAAATACACATTTCTAGTTCGATTACATCAAACACGATTATACTCCCTCTGTTTGAAAATGACACGGCAAGTTTGGTCCGTTGCACTATACATGGTGATAAAATAAAACACCCTTATCGAATATCACGGGGGCAATTACTATAATAAAGATTAATATTTACCTCATGTTACCTCATAATCGGCGTGGCATGTTCTCTAGTGAACATGTATAATCTCACTTACTGCAGGCACGCTCTAAATACAAAGACCTACATAAACAACCCTACCTCCTTAGAACTGTACTTCAAAGGTTTATTTAAGTGATTGAGCTTCAGTAACGCAAGTCAAGCATGATAGTTGAACTGCAGGACGTGTTTCCGCCTGCTCTATGAAACTGACCACGGAGTTGCACTTAAGGCCGAACAGCTCAACGAATATCAATGCTAAGGAGAACCTTATCAGCTTTAAGCCACACTTCATCTTGTATTAATGGTTTCAAAGAACTACATTATATGTTTGCTATAAATTATAAATAAAAATGAGTAACTTTAATTAATGAATGTCTTTTATCCATTAACATAGAAAAATGTGTATGGGTGAGCTTCTAGAATTTGCCACTCTTGGATAAAATAAAAGTACGTGCTTTACAAAGTAAAATGCAGCGCACTTACCCTGATTGTAACGTCCAGAAATGTACGACGGGTTATGTCGGGCGAGGATCCCTCTCTCAACGTGACAGTTCGAAAATTGCTAACGGCAACGAACAAATGACTATGTCAGCAACCGCTCTGTGTGTACAACTGTTAGGCAGGATATAGATACAGATAAGGAACGTACGGCTCTCTCTCCCTCTCTCTCTCGTCCCTCTCTTTGTGTCTCTCACTGCAAGCTTCCCGTCAGCGTTCGTGGCATAGCAGCGAGGGCAATTATCCCTGCCCTAGATGAGGGAGGGAGCATCCTTGTTTTCACATGTAAACTGTCTAAACACAACGAGTCTTCCCCGTTTTCCGGCTTGTACTTAGATATACGTCAAACGTCAAAATGAAATTCCACAGTTCCGGCTACACAGGCTATCTGGTATAATCAAAAAGTTATGCTTTGAGGATTTTGTTAAGATTTTAGCTTCCTAACCTGAGCTTCATATCTCCTTCGTTCATATCTCCTTTATTCATATCTCCTTCGTTCATATTTACTTTATTCATGTCTCCTTCATTCATGTCTCCTTCATTCATGTCTCCTTCATTCATATCTCCTTCATTCATATCGTCTTCATACATATCTTCTTCATGCATATCCCCTTTATTATCATCTCCTTCATGCATATCTCCTTCGAAGTCGCTCATATCTCCTTCGTTCAAATCTCCTTTATTCATATCTCCTTTATTCATATCGTCTTCATACATATCTTCTTCATGCATATCCCCTTCATACATATCTCCTTCATTCATGTCTCCTTTATGCGTATCTCCTTTATGCATATCTCCTTTATGCATATCTCCTATATCTCCTTCGTTCATATCTCGTTTATTCATGTCTCCTTCATTCATATCTCCTTCATTCATATCGGCTTTATATACTAGCCACATAAAGAAACTGTGCACGGAGAAAATATAGATATAATGGCACACCGTCCATATATGAAATATAGGTTTGAACACAGTAATTATTGGAGACATTCAAACGCTCATGCACGTCCATGCGATATGACGTCATTGATGGGGGCCTATGGACGTGCAATGTGTTACTGCATGTGCATCCTGTGCAGCTGTACACAGCATGTGCAACTCAAAATTCGCTGTCACTTTGGAAAGCATGATCTGTGGTCATTAAAAAATTCAAAACATCTCAGGCGCAGACACAAGCATATCACAAGCAAATCATTCCAAGATTGACAGCTGCACAGCATCATGAAGCCATTGGAATGATCCGAGCGGGAATGAGGCAACAACAGGTGGCAACACATTTCCAATGCAATCGTAACACGATATCGGCATTGGTGAGGCATTATCAGAACACAAATGACGTTGCCGACAACCCACGCTCAGGACGTCCCCGAGTAACGACGCCAAGACAGGACAGGTGGATTCGAGTGACATATCTCCGACACAGGTTCCAAACGGCAGTAACGACGTCCCAGACAATTCCTGGACTGCGCCGTATCCATCCCAACACTTACAGGAATCGTTTACGTCAGTACGGGATTCGACCACGACGCCCTGCCATACGTCCCATCCTGACACACCGTCATCGAGTCAACCGTCTAAGATGGTGTCGAAATCATGTTCGCCAACCTCGAATATGGTTGAGAAATATTGTCTTTACAGATGAATCGAGGTTCAACATTTCCCACAGTGACGGGCGCCAACGTGTCTACCGGCGTTTGGGAGAACGTTATGCACGCAACTGTATTGTGGAGAGGAATCGTTTTGGAGGTGGCTCAGTGAAGATTTGGGGTGGGATAACAGCAACGCACCGAACCCCTTTGTTGGTTGTTCAGGGCAATCTCACCGGTGTTGGCTACAGAGATCAGATTCTGAGGCCTCTGGTCATTCCTTTCCTGCAACGTCATGGCCCGCGATTGACATTTCAACAGGACAACGCTCGTCCTCACACGGCTAGGGTCGCAATGGATTTCCTTCACCATAACAATGTCATGTTACTGCCATGGCCTGCAATTTCTCCAGATCTCTCCCCAATAGAGCATGTGTGGGATGAAATGGAGCGCCGTCTGCGTCGTCTTCCACATCCTCCAGATAACGTCCGTGACTTGGCACAGGATTTGAGGAGGATATGGCAGGCCATTCCCCAGGCCTTCCATGCCCATTTGGTGGACTCCATGCGTCACCGATGCACTGCTGTGATTCACGCACAGTGTGGTCATACCCGTTATTGACTTTGTGACTTTGTCGTTTGACCCCCTACTCCATTTTGATCTTCTGACGTCATCGTAACAGATGTTGTTCAGGTCCCGTTGACATTTTTCTTATGGTCCGATCATTCAGCTGCTACAGCGTCTGCATCATTTTGTTCTTGTTGTGTTGTATTTCAATCCAGAATATATTTTCTCCGTGCACAGTTTCTTTATGTGGCTAGTATACATATCTTGTTCATTCATATCTCCTTCATTCATATATCCTTTATCCATATCTCCCTCATGCATATCTCCCTTATACATATCTCCTTTATGCATATCTGCTATGTCTCCTTCATTCATATCTCCTTCATTCATATCTCCTTCATACATATCTCCTTCATTCAGATCTCCTTCATACATATCTCCTTCTTACATATCTCCTTTATGTATATCTCTCTCATTGATATAGCCTTAATTTATATCGCCTTCATGCATATCACATTCATACATATGTCATTCATTCACATATTCTTCATACATATCTCCTTTATGCAAATCTCCTTCATACATTTTTCCTTCATTCATATATCCTTAGTACATATCTCTTTTATGCATATCTCTTTCATACATATCTCCTATATGCATATCTCATTTATGCACAACTCCTATATATGCATATCTCCTATATCTTCTTCACACATATCTCCTTCATGCATATCTCCTTCATACATATCTCCTTCATGTATATCTCCTTCACACATATCTTCTCCATGCATACCACCTTCATTCATATCTCCTTCACACATATCTCCTATATTCATATCTCATGCATTCATATCTCCTTCATGAATATCTCCTTTATGCATATCTCCTATATTCATATCTCACTCATTCATACATCCTTCATGCATATCTCCTTTATGCATATCTCCTATATTCATATCTCATGCATTCATATCTCCTTCATGCATATCTCCTTTATGCGTATCTCCTATATTCATATCTCCTTCATTCATGTAAACTTCATACATATCTCCTTCATACACATCTCCTTCATACATATCTCCTTCATACATATCTCCATACATATCTCCTTAATGAATATCTCCTTCATGAATATCTCTTTCTTGAATATCTCCTTCATGCATATCACCTTTATGAATATCTCCTTCATGCATATCTCCTTTATTCATATCTCATTCATTCATATCTCCTTCATGAATATCTCCTTTATGCATATCGCCTATATTCATATCTCATTCATTCATATATCCTTCATGAATATCTCCTTTATGCATATCTCCTATATTAATATCTCCTTCATTCATGTAAACTTCATACATATTTCCTTCATGCATATCACCTTCATGAATATCTCCTTCATGCATATCTCCTTTATTCATATCTCATTCATTCATATCTCCTTCATGAATATCTCCTTTATGCATATCGCCTATATTCATATCTCATTCATTCATGTAAACTTCATACATATTTCCTTCATGAATATCTCCTTCATGAATATCTCCTTTATGCATATCTCCTATATTCATATCTCATTCATTCATATATCCTTCATACGTGTTTTCTTCATTCATGTAAACTTCATACATATTTCATTCATTCATATATCCTTCATTCATATCTCCTTCATACATATCTTCTTAATGCATATCTCCTATATCTCCTTCATACATATCTCCTTCATGCATATCTCCTTCGTACATATCTCCTTCATTCATATCTCCTTCATTCATATCTCCTTCGTACATATATCCTCTATATCTCCTTCATGCATATCTCCTTCATACATATCTCCTTCATGCATATCTCCTTCATGAATATCTCCTTTTTGCATATCTCCATATTCATATCTCATTCATTCATTCATATCTCCTTCATGCATATTTCCTTCATTCACATCTCCTTCACACATATCTCCTTTAAACATATCTCTTATGTCTCCTTCATGAATATCTCCTTCATGAATATCTCCTTCATGAATATCTCCTTCATACATATGTCCTTCATTCATATCTCCCTTCAGTCACATCTCCTTCATGCATATCGCCCTCTGCCATATCTCCTCCATTCATATTTCCCGAATGCATATCTCCTCAATACACATATCTTTTTTCATATCTCCCTCATTCATATCTCCTTCGTTCATATCTCCTTCATACATATCTCCTTCGTTCATATCTCCTTCATTCATATCTCCTTCGTTCATATCTCCTTCCTACATATCTCCTTCGTTCATATCACCTTCGTTCATATCTCTTTTGTTTATATCTCCTTCATGCATATCTCCTTCGTTTATATCTCCTTCGTTCATATCTTCTTCGTTCATATCTCCTTCATACATATCTCCTTCGTTTATATCTCCTTCGTTCATATCTTCTTCGTTCATATCTCCTCAATACACATATCCTTTTTTCATATCTCCCTCATTCATATATCCTTCATTCATATCTCCTTCATACACATCTTCTTCATTCATATCTCCTTCATACATATCTCCTTCATTCATATCTCCTTCATAATATGTCCTTCATAATTTTCTTCTTCATGCATATCTCCTTCATTCATATCTCCTTTATGCATATCTCCTTTATTCATATCTTCCTCATACATATCTCCTTCATGCATATCTCCTTCATGAATATCTCCTTCATAATATGTCCTTCGTAATCTTCTCCTTCATGCATATCTCCTTTATTCATTTCTCCTTCATGCATATCTCCTTTATTCATTTCTCCTTTATGCATATCTCCTTTATTCATTTCTCCTTTATGCATATTTCCTATATTCATCTCCTTCATTCATGTAAACTTCAAACATATTTCCTTCATTCATATCTCCTTTATGAATATCTCCTTTATGCATATCTCCTATATTCGTATCTCATTCATTCATATATCCTTCATACGTGTTTCCTTCATTCATTTAAACTTCATACATATCTCCTTCGTTCATATCTCCTTCGTTCATATCCCCTTCGTTCATATCTCCTTCATACATATCTCCTTCGTTTATATCTCCTTCGTTCATATCTCCTTCGTTCATATCTCCTTCATACATATCTCCTTCGTTCATATCTCCTTCGTTCATATCTCCTTCATGCATATCTCCTTCGTTCATATCTCCTTCATACATATCTCCTTCGTTTATATCACCTTCGTTCATATCTCCTTCGTTCATATCTCCTTCATACATATCTCCTTCGTTCATATCTCCTTCATTCATATCTCCTTCGTTCATATCTCCTTCATACATATCTCCTTCGTTCATATCACCTTCATTCATATCTCTTTTGTTTATATCTCCTTCATGCATATCTCCTTCGTTTATATCTCCTTCGTTCATATCTTCTTCGTTCATATCTCCTTCATACATATCTCCTTCGTTTATATCTCCTTCGTTTATATCTTCTTCGTTCATATCTCCTCAATACACATATCCTTTTTTCATATCTCCCTCATTCATATATCCTTCATTCATATCTCCTTCATACACATCTTCTTCATTCATATCTCCTTCATACATGTCACTTTCATACTTATCTCCTTCATTCATATCTCCTTCATAATATGTCCTTCATAATTTTCTTCTTCATGCATATCTCCTTCATTCATATCTCCTTTATGCATATCTCCTTTATTCATATCTTCCTCATACATATCTCCTTCATGCATATCTCCTTCATGAATATCTCCTTCATAATATGTCCTTCGTAATCTTCTCCTTCATGCATATCTCCTTTATTCATTTCTCCTTCATGCATATCTCCTTTATTCATTTCTCCTTTATACATATCTCCTTTATTCATTTCTCCTTTATGCATATCTCCTATATTCATCTCCTTCATTCATGTAAACTTCAAACATATTTCCTTCATTCATATCTCCTTTATGAATATCTCCTTTATGCATATCTCCTATATTCGTATCTCATTCATTCATATATCCTTCATACGTGTTTCCTTCATTCATTTAAACTTCATACATATCTCCTTCGTTCATATCTCCTTCGTTCATATCCCCTTCGTTCATATCTCCTTCAAACATATCTCCTTCGTTTATATCTCCTTCGTTCATATCTCCTTCGTTCATATCTCCTTCATACATATCTCCTTCGTTCATATCTCCTTCGTTCATATCTCCTTCATGCATATCTCCTTCGTTCATATCTCCTTCATACATATCTCCTTCGTTTATATCACCTTCGTTCATATCTCCTTCGTTCATATCTCCTTCATACATATCTCCTTCGTTCATATCTCCTTCATTCATATCTCCTTCGTTCATATCTCCTTCATACATATCTCCTTCGTTCATATCACCTTCGTTCATATCTCTTTTGTTTATATCTCCTTCATGCATATCTCCTTCGTTTATATCTCCTTCGTTCATATCTTCTTCGTTCATATCTCCTTCGTTTATATCTCCTTCGTTCATATCTCCTTCGTTTATATCTCCTTCGTTCATATCTCCTTCCTTCATATCTCCTTCCTTCATATCTCCTTCATACATATCTCCTTCGTTCATATCTCCTTCATTCATATCTCATTCGTTCATATCTCATTCGTTCATATCTCCTTCATACATATCTCATTCGTTCATATCACCTTCGTTCATATCTCCTTTGTATATATCTCCTTCATGCATATCTCCTTCGTTCATATCTCCTTCGTTCATATCTCCTTCATACATATCTCCTTCGTTCATATCACCTTCTTTCATATCTCTTTTGTTTATATCTCCTTCATGCATATCTCCTTCGTTTATATCTCCTTCGTTCATATCTTCTTCGTTCATATCTCCTTCGTTTATATCTCCTTCGTTCATATCTCCTTCGTTTATATCTCCTTCGTTCATATCTCCTTCCTTCATATCTCCTTCCTTCATATCTCCTTCATACATATCTCCTTCGTTCATATCTCCTTCATTCATATCTCCTTCGTTCATATCTCATTCGTTCATATCTCCTTCATACATATCTCCTTCGTTCATATCACCTTCGTTCATATCTCTTTTGTTTATATCTCCTTCATGCATATCTCCTTCGTTTATATCTCCTTCGTTCATATCTTCTTCGTTCATATCTCCTTCGTTTATATCTCCTTCGTTCATATCTCCTTCGTTTATATCTCCTTCGTTCATATCTCCTTCCTTCATATCTCCTTCCTTCATATCTCCTTCATACATATCTCCTTCGTTCATATCTCCTTCATTCATATCTCATTCGTTCATATCTCATTCGTTCATATCTCCTTCATACATATCTCATTCGTTCATATCACCTTCGTTCATATCTCCTTTGTATATATCTCCTTCATGCATATCTCCTTCGTTTATATCTCCTTCGTTCATATCTCCTTCGTTCATATCTCCTTCATACATATCGCCTTCGTTCATATCTCCTTCGTTTATATCTCCTTCGTTCATATCTCCTTCGTTCATATCTCCTTCATTCATATCTCCTTCATACATATCTTCTTCGTTCATATCTCCATCATTTATATCTCCTGAAGGCGTATCTCCTCAATACATATGTCCTTTATTCATATCTCCCACATTCATATATACTTCGTTCATATCTCCTCCATGCATATCTCCTTCATACAATTATCCTTTATTCATATGTCTGTCATACACATCTCCTTTCTTTATATCTCTTTCATACATATATCCATCATGCATATTTCCTTCATTTTATGTCTCGTTCATACATATCTCATTTATTCATATGTCCTTCATACATATATCTATCATGGATATATCCTTCATTCATATCTCCTGCATACATATATACTTCGTTCATATCTCCTTCGTTCATATCTCCTCAATGCATATCTCCTCAATACATATGTCCTTCAAACATATATCTATCATGGATATATCCTTCATTGATATCTCCTCCATGCGTATCTCCTCCATGCTTACATCCTTCATGCATATCTCCTTCATACAGATATCTCCTTTATGCATATTTCCTTCATTTGCATCTCCTTCATACACATCTCCCTCATTCATATACCCTTGATTCATATCTCCTTCCTGCATATCACATTCAAACATATCTCCCGCATTCATACATTCTTCATGCATATCTCCTTCATGAATATCTCCTTCATACATATCTCCTTCGTACGTATCTCCCTCATGCGTATCTCCTTCATTGATATCTCCTTCATGCATATCTCCTTCATTGATATCTCCTTCATGCATATCTCCTTCATGCATATCTCCTTAATTGATATCTCCTTCATGCATATTTTCTTCATGCATATCTCCTTCATGCATATCTCCTTCATTGATAACTCCTTCATGCATATTTCCTTCATGCTTATCTCCCTCATACATATCTCCCTCATACATATCTCCTTCATTGATATCTCCTTCATGCATATCTCCCTCATACATATCTCCCTCATACATATCTCCTTCATGCATATTTCCTTCATGCATATCTCCCTCATACATATCTCCCTCATACATATCTCCTTCATTGATATCTCCTTCATGCATATCTCCCTCAGACATATTTCCTTCATGCACACCTCCTCCATATGTATTTCCTTCATACACATCTGCTTTGTCCTTCATAATTTTCTTCTTCATGCATATCTCCTTCATACATATCTCCTTTATTCATATGTCCTTCATACATATATCTATCATGGATATATCCTTCATTCATAACCCCTTTATTAATATCTCCTTCGTTCATATCTCCTTTATTCATATCTCATTCATACATCTATCCTTCATAAATATCTCTTTCATACATATCTCCGTCGTACATATCTCCTTCATTCGTATTTCTTTCATACATATCTCCGTAGTACACATATCCTTCATACATGTACATATATCCTTCATACATATCTCCTTCACACATATCTCCTTCATACATATCTCCTTTACACATATCTCCTTCATACATATTTCCTTCATACATATATCCTTCATACATATCTCCTCCAGTCATATCTCCTTGATACATATCTCCTTTATAATATCTCCTTCATACATATCGTCTTCATTCATATCTCCGTCGAACATATCTCTTCATTCGTATTTCTTTCATTCATATCTCCTTCTTAATACATATCTTCTTCAGTCATATCTCCTTCATACATATCTCCTTTATAAGATCTCCTTTATAATATCTCCTTTATAATATCTCCTTCATACATATCTTCTTCATTCATATCTCCTTCATTCATATCTCCTTCATACATATACCCTACATACAAATCTTCCTCTTATATCACCTATGTGTCATAGAATGCATTTAAGTCAGACGCTCTATTGGAGTAAAGAACTGGCAGCAGAGATCGTGTTTATATAATCCTCTCGGAGAAAACTGGACATTACATTATATTACATTACATTCTATAAGGGCGGGTGGTGTTCTACCTGACAGGTTTTTACAACCATGATTTTTGTTGTCGATCAAGAACAGCATATATACTGAACAAGAAAAGTTCCTGTGACATTGAATAAGATTTAATGCAAAGTAATGTTTTTTACCAAATCTAAAAACAATTCGATCCATCTCATCCCACATGTGCTCGATTGGTGAGAGATCAGAGGAGCGAGCCGGCCAGGGGATGACATTCACGTTGTTTTGTTGAAGAGAATCCTGAACAAGTCGAGCAATATGAGGCCGGGCGTTGTCATGTTGAAAGGTAATGCATGGGCCATGACGTCGCAAAAACGGTAGAACAACAGGGCCGATGATCTCGTCTCGGTAACGCTGTCCATTGAGATTTCCCTCTACCACTATCAAACGGGTCCTCTGTCTTGCTTTAATCCCACACCATACCATAACGCTGTCACCACCGAACCGATCTTCTTCCATGACAATGATTGACGTAACGTTCACCTCGACGTCGGTACACTCGAATCCGTCCATCGCTGTGGCTGAGGTGAAAATGAGACTCGTCAGTGAATAGAACTTATCCCCACTGCATGGCCGTCCAGCGTAGACGCTGTCTGCACCACTGTGGACGTGCTTGACGGTGGTTTCCTGTGAAAATGGGACGTCTGGCGGGTCTTCTGGCGACAATGCCTGCACATCTGAGGCGACGACGTACGGTTTGTGAAGATATTCGTCGAAGGCCAGGGATGCATCTTGCAGTCTCTGTTGCTGGCTGGAATCGATTTCGTAGGTGTGTTGCTCGAATCCAGTTGTCTTGTCGATTACTTGTTACACATGGCCTGCTACTCTGAGGATGGTCTCTGACTGCATTAGTCTGTTGCCAACGTTGCCATAAACACCAAATGGTGTTTCTGTGGACATTAAATTGTCTTGCAACAGCACGTTGACTAGATCCTGCTTCAAGCATACCAATGGCTCGCAGAGGCTCATTTTCGGACAGGCGTGGCATTTCGTAATGTTGAATAATTGCGTAATTTGGTTGTTTTTCTGAGTGGTTGCTGTTAGCACGATGCTAAACAATGCAGATGGAATCCCGTTAACGCGCATGTTTTTATACCAATTCTTGGGTAGTGAAATGCATGGGGCTTGCGTAAAAGTCAACTTTTGCATGGAATGCATGCTTTTCTGCAGGAGTTGCGTTTTTTGTGACTTGATTCCATTCATGTACTACAATATTGAAAACCAAACTTTACTTGTGTGAAAAATACACTAAAATATTGGTGTCACAGGAACTTTTGTTGTTGAATATATTTAAGAACTAACTAACCATGTGCGTGTGCATTGGAGTATGAGCATTCCTAGAGTGAGGGCCAAACTGTATGCACAATGTTTGGCCCTCATTGAACAAGTAAAAGTCAATTCTTATAATTTTTTGATATCACTGTTTTTTACTTCGAAGTTTTGAGCGCTTGATCTATGCAATTTTGTTTAAAGTGGCACGTGTAGCTTTATGTTTACACTGACAGTCAAACAACAACCAGCTGTATCGCGGAATAAAATAGGTCCTCAAAAAGAGTCCATGACATGATCGTATACATGTATGCTCAACTTGCTTTACAGGAAAATCTGTTGCATAGTTTGTTTACAACAAATGTATTCAAATAATATCATCATTGGATAAGAAAGGTATGTTACGAACTTCTTCAGTTAGGCGTAATACATTTACATCGTGCACAAGACGCCAAAAGGGACGACACGATAAACGTGACGGGAGAGATTTCCGAAGTTGTTGATAAACTTGTGGCGGTTACATGTGTTAGTCATCATTGATTAAAGATGTGTCAAATAGATACTAAGGTACATTCATAGATTGCTATTGTAGTTTAGACACATATCGAGTTGATAACACGGTAGTTTGGATGTGCATTTCTTCGTGTTGTTCGCTTAGATGGGTCTCAGCGTTGATTTGCGTGAACGGGCATGAAGTCTAACGCTCTGACGTTTCTCAATGTATACTTAAACGCAGAGTTCGAAATTATGGGGTATGAATGATCAGAAAGAACGTTTTTTATTCATTCACTCTAGGGAAGTCCCAGGGTTTCCCCAAGGAATGTGTAAGAAATCAGACTCGTTAAAAACGTAGGGACGTCAAATTGTGTAGTTCATATACTTAGGAACGTCAATGTCGCGGTCATGTGACCGACCTCTCGTCACATGGAAAAGCTGCATATATATGTGTAAACTTCACATGAAATTATATTAACGTATTGTCAGTATTAACAATAGCTTTATTTATACAAATGACAGAGCGGCGGAAACTAACATCAGCGAAATTAAAGCGTTGAATTGGCAAAACTATTGCAGTTACCAACAACACTTTGCAATCATACATTCCATTCATCGTGAACCAGTTAATCTCTTGACAGAGCCAAATTACCACTCGGCACTACTCCGACATACACTCCACCTACAAGAAACGGGAACTACACAGACAGGAACTTTATCAACTTCCACCTGGCACTACACCTCCAGCATGTTGCACTGGGCACTACACCGACAGCAGGTTCGTTAACAGCCACTGGGGACTACAGCGAAAACGCCATCAACTCCTACTGGGGACTACACCGACAGCAACTTCATCAACCACCACTTGAGACTACACCAACAGCAACTTCATCAACTACGACTGGGGACGATACCAACAGCAACTCCTTTAACTACCACTCGGCGCTTCACTGACAGCAACTCCATCACTACACCTGGGCACTACGCCGACAGCAACTTCATCAACTTTCACTGGGAACCACACCGACAGTAACATCATCAACTACCACTGGGGACTACAGCGACAGCAACTCCATCAACTACCACTCGGCACTACACTGACAGCAACTCCATCACTACACCTGGGCACTACGCCGACAGCAACTTCATCAACTTTCACTGGGAACCACACCGACAGCAACATCATCAACTACCACTGGGGACTACACCGACAGCAACACCATCGACTCCCACTAGGGACTACAGATACAGCAACCCCATCAACTACCGCTCGGCACTACACCGACAGCAACTTCACCAACCTCTACTGGGGACTACACCGACAACAGCTCCATTAACCTCTAGTCGGGACTACACCGACAACAATTGTATATACTGGGACTACATCGACAGCAACTCCATCAACTACCACTGGAGGCTACACCGACGAACACTCCATCAAGTACTACAGTGGCACACATTGACATCAACTCCATCAACCTCCCATGGGAACTACATCAAAAGCAACTCCTAACACTGATAGCAGCTACCGCTGATGACTACAGTGACAGCTATTACCACAGTATCTGTACTTGTATTTTGCATGTGGACAGCATAAGCAATAGTGGTAGTGACTGTTTGGCATGTGGGTAGCATCAGCAAGAGTAGTTGTCTGTGAATGGATTTCGGCTAGTACTAGCAATAGCAGTAGTGTGTGTTTGGCAAGTTAATGGTATTAGCAATAGTAGTAGTATGTGATTGGAATGTGGATAGTATTAGCAATAATAGTTGTGTTGATCAACGTCTGTGTTATTATTCAATACGCAGGCAGCATGACATGTTTGTACCTGACTTAAGATAATACTTGGCAACCAACACATGCTGCAAGCTGAATTCACTTGAAACAGCAGGTCAATGTAATGCATCCTCTCTTGACAGGGTACTTCTGGGTAGTTTGATGTAGGGCCAAGAAACAAACAATTTCTAAAATATTAAAGATAGGATTGATATTATAAACTGACAGCCAAAAGAAACTTCGCCATAGTTTTAAATCACAAAAGTTATATGTATGAAGTAAAATGTATTAAAAAATGAAAAATCAGAACGAAATCAACATTTATAACGACAGTCACACAGCATCCGATATTTGCATGACCTTTGCCCGAATTGAGGTGGGATAGCAAAGGCAAGCTTTCAACGTAATGGACAAAGGGAACGCACATCGAAAATAGCTTAAGTTCAATGACAAGTCAAAGTAATAGCGTGTATGACCAGCCCCGGGTACAAGACACGAAAACACACTCCGGCGCACAGACAAGTCAGTCGTCTGATGATGTCACGTGGGATACTTCACCATTTTTCTAACGATATGCCAATAATTGCAAGCAAATATGTCATAAATACTTCCCAAATTATAAT